TACAGTACACATACTAGATACAGTACACAAACTAGATACGGTTACCATATTAGATACGGTAAACATACCAGAAACAGTACACATCCTTGATACAGTACACAAACAAGATTCAGTAAACATACTATATACAATTTTTTTTCCTAATAACAGTTTAAAATTATACTAGATACAGTAAACATACTAGATACGGTACACATACTAGATGAGGTACATATACTAGATACAGTACACATACAAGATACAGTAAACATACTAGATACCTTAAACATACTAGATACAGTACACATACTAGAAACTGTAGGCATACTAGATACAGTACACATACAAAAAGAATACACATACTAGATACTGTACAAATACTAGATACGGTAAACATGCTAGATACAGTACACACACTAAATACGGTAAACATACAAGATACGGTACACATACTAGAAACAATACATATACTAAATAGTACACATATTAGATACAGTACACATAATACAATACAGTACACAAAATAGATACAGTAACATACTAGATACGATACACACACTAGAAAAGCTAAACATACTAAATACGATAAACATACTAGATACAGTAAACATACTAGATACGGTACACATACTAGAAACAGTACACATATTAGATACAGTTAACATACTAGATACAGTACACATACTAAATACGGTAAACATACTAGAAACAGTACACATACTAGATACAGTAAACATACTAGATACAGTAAACATACTAAATACAGTAAACATACTAGATACAGACACAAACTAGATACGGTTACCATATTAGTTACGGTAAACATACCAGAAACAGTACACATCCTAGATACAGTTCACATACTAGATACAGTAAACATACTAGATACAGTAGACATACTAGATACAGTACACAAACTAGATACAGTAGACATACTAGATACAGTACACAAAATAGATACAGTACACAAACTAGATACGGTTACCATATTAGATACGGTAAACATACCAGAAACAGTACACATCCTAGATACAGTTCACATACCAGAAACAGTACACATCCTAGATACAGTACACATACTAGATACAATACAGTACACAAAATAGATACAGTACACAAACTTGATACGGTTACCATATTAGATACGGTAAACATACCAGAAACACTACACATCCTAGATACAGTTCACATACCAGAAACAGTACACATCCTAGATACAGTTCACATACTAGATACAGTACACGTACTAGATACAGTACACATACTAGATATAGAACACATCCTAGCTACAGTACAGATCCTAGATACATTACACATACTAAAGACGGTACACATCCTAGATACGGTACACGTACTAGATACAGTACACATACTAGATATAGTACACATCCTAGATACAGGACAGATCCTAGATACATTACACATACTAAAGACGGTACACATCCTAGATACGGTACACAAACTCGATACAGTACACATTCTAGATACGGTACACATCCTAGATACAGGACACAAACTAGATACGGTACTGTATCGAGTATGTGTACCGTATCTAGGATGTGTTCCGTATTTAGTATGTGTAATGTATCTAGGATCTGTCCTGTATCTAGGATGTGTACTATATCTAGTATGTGTTCTGTATCTAGTATGTGTACCGTATCTAGGATGTGTTCCGTATTTAGTATGTGTAATGTATCTAGGATCTGTACTGTATCTAGTATGTGTACTGTATCTAGGGACAGTAAACATCCTAGATACAGTACACATCCTAGATACAGTACACATCCTAGATACAGTACAGATCCTAGATACATTACACATACTAAATACGGTACACATCCTAGATACGGTACACATACTCGATACAGTACACATTCTAGATACGGTACACATCCTAGATACAGGACACAAACTAGATACGGTACACATATTAGATACGGTAAACATGCCAGAAACAGTACACATCCTAGATACAGTTCACATACTAGATACAGTACACATACTAGATACAGTACACATACTAGATACAGTATACATACTAGATACAGTACTAAAACTAGATACGGTTACCATATTAGATACGGTTAACATACCAGAAACAGTACACATCCTAGATACAGTTCACGTACTAGATACAGTAAACATACTAGATACAGTACACATCCTAGATACAGTACACATCCTAGATACAGTACACATACTAGATACAGTACACATACTAGATACAGTACACATCCTAGATAAAGTTCACATACTAGATACAGTATAATACTAGATGAGGTACACATACTAGATACAGAACACATACTAGATACAGTACACATACTAGATACCGTACACATGCAAGATACAGTAAACATACTAGATACAGTACACATCCTAGATACAGTACACATACTAGATATAGTACACCTCCTAGATACAGTACACATACTAGATACAGTACACCACCTAGATACAGTAAACATACTAGATACAGTACACATCCTAGATACAGTACACATCCTAGATATAGTACACATACTAGATACAGTACACATACTAGATTCAGTACACATATTAGATACCGTACACATGCAAGATACAGTAAACATACTAGATACAGAACACATACTAGATACAGTACACATACTAGATACCGTACACATGCAAGATACAGTAAACATACTAGATACAGTACACATACTAGATACCGTACACATGCAAGATACAGTAAACATACTAGATACAGTACGCATACTAGATACAGTACACATCCTAGATACAGTACACATCCTAGATATAGTACACATACTAGATACAGTACACATCCTAGATACAGTTCACATACTAGATACAGTACAGATCCTAGATACAGTACACATCCTAGATACAGTATAATACTAGATGAGGTACACATACTAGATACAGTACACATACTAGATACAGTACACATACTAGATACCGTACACATCCTAGATATAGTACACATACTAGATACAGTACACAAACTAGATACAGTACACATACTAGATACAGTAAACATACTAGATACAGTACACATACTAGATACAGTACACATGCAAGATACAGTAAACATACTAGATACACTAAACATACTAGATACAGTACACATACTAGATAAAGTAAACATACTAGATACAGTACACATACTAGATACTGTACACATCCTAGATACAGTACACATACTAGATATAGTACACATCCTAGATACAGTACACATACTAGATACAGTAAACATACTAGATACGGTACACATACTAGATGAGGTACACATACTAGATACAGTACACATGCAAGATACAGTAAACATACTAGATACAGTAAACATACTAGATACAGTACACATACTAGATACAGTAAACATACTAAATACAGTACACATACTAGATACAGTACACAAACTAGATACGGTTACCATACTAGATACGGTAAACATACCAGAAACAGTACACATCCTAGATACAGTACACATACCAGATTCAGTAAACATACTAGATACAGTAAGCATACTATATACAACAAATTGTCCTAATAACAGTATATAATTATACTAGATACAGTAAACATACCTGATTCAGTAAACATACTAGATACAGTACACATACTAGATACAGTTAACATACTAGATACAGTACACATACTAGATAAAGTAAACATACTAGATACAGTACACACATTAGATACGGTAAACATGCCAGAAACAGTACACATCCTAGATACAGTACACATACCAGATGCAGTAAACATACTAGATACAGTAAACATACTATATACAGTACACATGCTAGATACAGTAAACATACTATATACAGTACACATACTAGATTCAGTAAACATACTAGATACAGTTAACATACTATATACAGTACACATACTAGATACAGTTAACATACTAGATACAGTACACATACTAGATACAGTAAACATACTATATACAGTACACATACTAGATTCAGTAAACATACTAGATACAGTTAACATACCAGATACAGTACACATACCAGATTCAGTAAACATACTAGATACAGTTAACATACCAGATACAGTACACATACCAGATTCAGTAAACATACTATATACAGTAAACATACTATATACAGTACACATACTTGATACATATGCAAGACCACACACTTGTGTTTTTCGAACGAATCAGAAAGCACGAGTTTATTGCGCGTACGAATAGTTACGTCCGCGCAATAAAATCGTAACTTAAATCGCTTAGTAAAACTCAGCCATAGCCCAAAGGACCGTTGATCTTATGCAATGGCGCGGCGTCCGTCGTCCGTCCGTTTATTTTTCCTTTAAAACACTACTTGTCCCAAACAGCTCAGTAGATTTTGACTAAATTTAGTCTTGAGCACCCTTAGGCCAAGGACATTCAATTTTGTATAAACGGTGGCTGTGGCCCTCCTGGGGGCAGAGGGGCGGGCCCAATAGGGGGAATAGAGGTAAATTTTAATTTTGTATAAATTATGGATGTACATGAGGGACAGGGCTGAAAAGGGAAATTTGAGATTTAAATCTTTAAAATCATTCTCCTTCTGTACCATTGGAGGGATTTTATCCAAATTTGGCCTGGAGCATCCTTAAGCAAAGGCGGCTTTATTTTGTATAAACATTAGGTGTGACCCATCTGCACTGTGGCCCTTCTGGATGTAGAGCAGCAGGGCACAAAAGGGGAATATGAGGTTAAAATAATTAAAATCCTTCTCCTTCTGTACTATTGGAGTTTTTTTCCCCACATTTGACCCGGAGTATCCTTTTGCAAAGGGAATACCTTTTGTATAAATGGAGGGTGTGGCCCCTTTGGGTGCAGAGTTGCGGGGCCCAGTAGGGGAATTTGAGTTTGAAATATTTAAAATGCTTCTACTTCTGAACCATTGGAGGTATTTTATGTAATAAGAATATTTTCCAATGGTTGTTTTTTTTAACCATGTGAGCGATATAGGCCGTCTGGGCCTCTTGTTTAAAACGTATCACTACTAAGGAGAGGTTATCGATATTTGTCTTTTTAGTTCGATAAAGATGTAAGGAAGAGTCTGGAAACAGAAAAAGGTCGAACACTGGTCATCGTATGTGATGGAAAAAAGGGCCAGTCAGCCAGACTTCTTGGCCTGGATGATTTTACTGAGGAGGTGTCATGTCAGACCTACGGCGCCATGGCAGGAATTGAACGTCCACACTTGCGCGAAGTTCCCACACAGGAAATCCGGGCACATCATTTGAACTTTGATCTTTCGGCATATGGACCATACGGTCAGGATCAAAACGGATCGCCAGGGTTTAGTTTGAAAATATTCGGAAATAGTAAATACAGATATGTTTGTTTAGCGATAAAAAAATGTGAATCACCAACATTAAAGGCCTTGAGGACTATACTTGATAGATCGGTAAGTAACTTGTCACATACTTTAGCAATATACTTGATATATCGGTAAGTAACTTGTTATAGCCTTGAGGTTTATACTTAATAGATCGGTAAATAATTTGTCACATACTTTAGGACTACACTTGATAGATCGGTAACTAGTTTGTGACAGGCTTGAGGACTGTGCGTGATCGATCGGTAACTTGGCTCTCCAGTGTTAACAGTCTGGGTCTCTTCAGTGTTAGTAGTCTGGGTCTCTCCAGTGTTAGTAGTTTGGGTCTCTCCAGTGTTAACAGTCTGGTTCTCTCCAGTGTTAACAGTCTGGTTCTCTCCAGTGTTAACTGTCTGGGACTCGCCAGTGTTAACTGTCTGTGT